AAGGAACAAAGATAAAAAATGTGACACCAAAAAAAAAAATAAAACGAGAAGACCTTCTGACAGCATATTTAACAAATTAGAGATGCCGGGTGGCCGGCCATTTTAATGGGGCTGGGGAAGAGTCGAATCCCTACTTCAGTATTCCTAAACTAAAATGACCTAAAGATAATAATTCTGTTCTATATAAACATTTGACATGAGGTTGTAAGAAATTTGACTCTTTGGTGCAACAGTTGCTACAAATCTGACGAAGATATATATATATATATATATATATGGGAGCTTTATCTAAATCTGAACCGATTTTTTTCCAATTTCAATATGGTTCGTCCTTGTGGCATATAAGTGATCTGTGCCAATCTGTAGAAAAAATTTTTTTTTTAATAAATTATTTTTTATACCATCCACCATGGTATGGAGGGTATATTAATTTTGTCATTCCGTTTGTAACTCATCGAAATATTCATTTCCGATCCTATAAAGTATATATATTCTTGATCAGGGTAAAATTCTAAGACGATCTAGCCATGTCCGCCCGTCCGTCCGTCTGTTGTAATCACGTTATCTTCTGAAGGAATTGAGATAGTGCGCTGAAATTTTGCATATGGTTGTCTTTTGTCTGATTCAAGTTCGAAGATGGGATATATCGGTTCACGTTTAGGCATAGCTCCCATATATGGGTACCCGCCAAAATTTCTGCCGAATTCGCTGAAATTTGGTACATTGGGTTCTTATTGGGTACTAAATGTCTTCACAACAAATTAGAAGTATAGATCCACTTTTTCTGGTAGCCCCCATATAACGGTACCTCCTAATTTTCAATATATATTGGGGGTATATCGAAATTGGTCCGATTTTTCCACCGAATTGGCTGTAATTTAGTATTTTGAGTTCTTAATAAGTACCAAATCTCTCCACAAAAAATTATGAATATAGGTCCATTTTTTCGGGTAGCCCACATATAGGCGTACCCCGCAATTTTCGGTATTTTGGGGTTCTTGAGCGCGTTTTTCAACCGAATTCGCTGCAATTTGGTATTTTGTAGTCGTATATGGTAACAAATCTCCCTACTAAAAATTATTAAAATTCGCCTCCTTTTTGATGTAGTCCCCATAAAACCCCACCCCCTTTTATATTAAAATAGTTATCTGAGTTGATCTGCGTTTTGGGTTTGGTTCTAAGACTCTGTTGTAATCATTTCACCTGCGTAGGATAGAACGTAAAATTCGATAATGTACTATATATGAACTACAGTCCGGATTTAGGCCTAGGCCTAGCCCCTGTGTGGAACGAACCAGAAGGAGTGTACCGATATTTCCCATCATCGAACTTGAACAAATATTGGAATAGATAATAACATAGGCAAGGTTTAGATTAAATCAAAATTTTCTGAAATGGATTTGGTTAAAAAAAACGTGGGGTCGTGGGGTCAATATATCGACGAGTCACATTTTCACTGTATCAAAGTATATACACCCTCATTAGCCATAATGCTGAGGTTATAAATATTCATTAAAAATTGCTGAAATTTGTATTTGGTGTACATTATGGTTTACATAATCAGTTTGTAGAAAGGTCACTTTTTGGTATGTTCCCTTTATTTTCATTACAAGTACCTGTCAGTATATCTATGGTGGAGGGTATCCAAAGTTCGGCCCGGACGAACTTAACGTTTTTTTCACTTGTTCTATATTTTTTTTTCCCGATTTTCTAGACATAACTTTAATTAATTAAGATTTTTAATATAATTTCAGACACAAAAAAAGACCTGATTTTTATAAATATTCGCAAATCGAATTTGAATATCTTGTCTACAAGAAGGAGACCCTATGATCGTCAATGAAAGGTACGTGTCCCAATGGTTTTAAATTTTTTTACCCTACACAACTATGTTGTCAGAATATTATAGCTTCGTACAGCTCCAAGAGTATGTAACGCTGCGAAATATTGGTCATAGACCCACCATTAAGTATACCGATCGTCATATCTGTCCGTTCATGTGTGTCCGTCCGTTCGTCTGTCCATTATAATTTGTACAGTTATGGAATAATCTTCACGAAATTTTGCATGTAGGATGGGTTCTGCCCAAAAAAGACCCCTATTGTTTTTGGTAAAAATCGGTTACTATTTAAAGGATGAAATGGACCAAATGCTTAATTTTTGTCGGTTTTTCCGATCGCTCCACAGGCCGCAATTATGGCCCACACATCGCATGGAGAAGAAGGGGATTGGGCCAAAGAAAAAGCATGCCTATTTTGATAAAGATCGGTCAGTATTTAGCGGGTCAAATGGATTCTGGCTTTTGTGTGAAAAATTACAAAATTTGTATTCTATAGCGTATAGATTTAACCCTGAAGGACATAGACCTGAGAAATAATTAGTATATCCAAGAGCAATGGTTTTAGTTTACCGATCGTCAATTTAAGGGTCAGATGTGACGGTTACACTTAAATATTTACAGGTGCTTACGTATTCAGATATTATTTAGTAAACCATTACCACACATTAGAGGGCGGAAGTACAGCGCTGATTGCTTTGAAATATTCCATGACGTTCCCGTTATGGTCAAGGACAACGCCTATAATTTTCGGTGATGATCAGATAATAATATTGGGATGAAGTGGACCGAAAACATAATTTTTTTTGTGTCGATCTACAGGTCACGATTGAAAGCCGAACATCACAACACAACCCATGGCGAAGGGAATTTGGACAAGTAATTAGAAAAGCTGTACCGGATATTAGTAATATTTGTTGACCTCTAGTCGGTCAAGTGGTAGCAAATATCGCGAAATATTGCCCAAGTTCAGAATTTAGAACCACAGAAAGTCAGATTTTCGTGGAAGTTGTGTAGGGTATTATATGGTCGGCCCCGTCCGACTATACTGATCCGCTCACTGGATTTTATTATTATTGTTTTAAATTAAAATTATTTTTTAAATTAATTTTTTTTAATTTAATTTCAGAAAAAAATGAAATATTCCGCAATATTACAAAACTGGTAAGTATGCTGTCAAAATTTCTATTTATCTGATATATGTGATTGTTTTATTTTATAAATATTTTTTGTATATAAATTTGAATAAAATTAATTATGAACATGGCCGTAAATATTTTTAGCAAGAATAATAACATTTGATGGTTCAAAATTTAAATTCAATCAAAGATACAATGTCCTTGAGTTATGGATTTTTTTTAGGATTATTTATTATTAGGCATTGTATTTTTTTTAATGCAAATAGTAATGGAGTTTATTAAAAATTTTTTTTATTTAAAATTATTAAATTATAAATAAATTAAACACTTAAGAGATAAATATTCATAGAGATAGGTAGGGATAGAGAGAGGGAGAGTTAAAAATATATAGCCATAGATAAGTTAAAAAAATTGTCATATTTATATTGAAAACATATTTGCAATTTTGAAAACAATATAAGAAATTTTAAGATCCATATCTTTTTTGAGGTTATTTTTGGAATATTCGCAAGTAGTCTTAGATAGCCTTAAATTCATAAAAACAGTATCGTCTTTTGTAAACATTTTGAAATTAAAACAAATATTTGATTTTTTTTTTAAATTGCGACAAAGAAACAAATTTTACACATATGTATGTATTTATGTTTGTATATATTAAGAAGTATATAAATAATTACATTATATATAACTATAGTAGTATGTACATGAATTGGTTGGTTGGTTATTGCAAACATTTTTTTTAACTTCATTATTATGATGGTGATTATGTATGTATGTATATGTTTAACTTTAATGAACAAGTGTATGTGTATAGGTAATTATGTTAATTTAACATAATTTGAAAACAATTAATTAATTCAAAAGTAGTATTGGGAAATTCCGAAAATGGCCATAAGGTCCCAGGAATTTTTTTCTATAGAAAAAACATAGACCTGAGGGTCTCGGAATTTTTTCTATAGAAAAAACATCGACCTGAGGGTCTCGGAATTTTTTTCTATAGAAAAAAACATCGACCTGAGGGTCTCGGAATTTTTTTCTATAGAAAAAAACATCGACCTGAGGGTCTCGGAATTTTTTTCTATAGAAAAAAACATCGACCTGAGGGTCTCGGAATTTTTTTCTATAGAAAAAAACATCGACCTGAGGGTCTCGGAATTTTTTTCTATAGAAAAAAACATCGACCTGAGGGCCTCACGAATTTTTTTCTATAGAAAAAACTTGGCGACCCAAGGGTCTCACGATTTTTTTTCTATAGAAAGAACTTCGACCTGAGGGTCTCACGATTTTTTTTCTATAGAAAAAACTTGGCGACCCAAGGGTCTCACGAATTTTTTTCTATAGAAAAAACTTGGCGACCCAAGGGTCTCACGAATTTTTTTTCTATAGAAAAAACCTGACCCAAAGGGTCTCACGAATTTTTTTTCTATAGAAAAAACATCGACCTGAGGGACTCGGAATTTTTTTCTATAGAAAAAAACTTGGACCAGAGGTCCAAGGAATTTTTTCTAAAAAAATTTTCTTGCACCAGAGGACCTGATGATTTTTTTTTCTATAGAAAAAACTTGGCGACCCAAGAGTCTCAAGAATTTTTTTCTATAGAAAAAACATGACGACCCAAGGGTCTCACGAATTTTTTTCTATAGAGAAAACTTGGACCTGAGGTTCCCGAGAATTTTTTTCTATAGAAAAAATTTCGAACTGAGGTTCACGGAATTTTTTTCTAAATATCTACCTTGATGATTATGATTTTGATGAACACAATTCAAACTTTTTTTTTTGGTTTTTGAGTTCAGAGAGTATACCGAAGAAAACACACGCACACATTATTTCAGAACAAAGCTGGCTATATGGATACATCAGTTATTTCTTATTTGTAACTTCTTCTAAATTAAAACAACAACAAATAACTTCTCCTATTTTCGTTCATTTTTTAATCCTTTTTGGATTCCTCGATTTTCTTTTTGTTTCCTATTTACTCCATTCATTCGGATTTTGTCCCCAACAACACCACTTTGGGTTTTTCTTCAATGACGATCGTTGATCATTTCGGCGGATAGCGAATTGATGGCATCCTCAACCGTTGGCTTGTAGCGATCCATTTTCGAGGAATTAATTGGCGAAAAATGTTCTGAAATTAAAGAGGTATTGTCTGATCGCATTAAATGTGTTACGGACAATTCTATATCGACTTAATGCAGGACACTCCAGCGCCCCCTATCCCCCACTCCCAGAGGTATTTAGGGGTTGGAAGTGGGGGGCGTGAGAGTCCTTTGTCTACTTACCAAAGTCACCACTTGAACTGGAATCGGTAAAACTGGGCGTACCTTCGGTCCATGTGGGTGTTGAACCTTCACCAGATGCTGGTGGTGTCCAGGCTAGACCGCCCCTTGAACCATAGTGACTACTGGATGATGTATCTACGGCTAAATAGGTGTCTAAATGTATTTCGGAAACACTAAAATCATACAATACAATAAAAAAATTCATTTCAACTACCGGATGATGATTCAAATGAAAGAGACAGAGAGAGTTAGAGAGAGAGACACACATACACACACATACAAAGAGCAGAGCATTCGGAAATAAAAATTGTAGAGCTCTTGGCATTCCATGATTTATATTTAAAAAATATATATATTTTTATATATAATATACATATATACATAGATTATATTGTGTCAGGGCAGGGGTCTTCAGCATTGTGCAATTGTGTGGTGGAAGGGTGTGGTGGATGTGGAGGTGTATAAAGAGAAGGTGCAAGAAATGTTACATACAAAGTGCAGTTATTCAAAAAGTTTAGAAAAGGAAATTTTGGATCAAAATTTCAGGTTCGGAGCTTGATCCGCAGGTCTCACAATTTTTTTTAATGGAAAAAGCTTTGACCTGAGTGTCTCGTGATTATTTTTTCTATAGAAAAAAACTTCGAAAAATTTCGACCTGAGGGTCTCGCGATTTTTTTCTATAGAAAAAAATTTCGACCTGAGGGTCTCGCGATTTTTTTCTATAGAAAAAAACGTTGACCTGAGGGTCTCGCGAATTTTTTTTCTATAGAAAAAAAAAACGTCGACCTGAGGGTCTCGCGAATTTTTTTTTCTATAGAAAAAAAAAAACGTCGACCTGAGGGTCTCGCGAATTTTTTTTCTATAGAAAAAACTTGGACCTGAGGTTCTCGCGAATTTTTTTCTATAGAAAAAACTTGGCGACCTGAGGGTCTCGCGAATTTTTTTCTATAGAAAAAAATTTCGACCTGAGGGTCTCGCGAATTTTTTTCTATAGAAAAAACTTGGCGACCCAAGGGTCTCGCGAATTTTTTTCTATAGAAAAAACTTGGCGACCCAAGGGTCTCGCGAATTTTTTTCTATAGAAAAAACTTGGCGACCCAAGGGTCTCGCGAATTTTTTTCTATAGAAAAAAAACTTCGACCTGAGGGTCTCGCGAATTTTTTTCTATAGAAAAAACTTGGCGACCTGAGGGTCTCGCGAATTTTTTTCTATAGAAAAAAAACGTCGACCTGAGGGTCTCGCGAATTTTTTTTTCTATAGAAAAAAAAACGTCGACCTGAGGGTCTCGCGAATTTTTTTTCTATAGAAAAAAACTTCGACCTGAGGGTCTCGCGAATTTTTTTCTATAGAAAAAAACTTCGACCTGAGGGTCTCGCGAATTTTTTTCTATAGAAAAAAACTTCGACCTGAGGGTCTCGCGAGGGAATTTTTTTCTATAGAAAAAAACTTGGTCCTGAGGGTCTCGCAAATTTTTTTCTATAGAAAAAACTTGGACCAGAGGGACCCGAAATTTTTTTTCTATAGAAAAAAAAACTTGGACCTGAGGGTCCCGAAAATATTTTTCTACACAAAAAAAACTTGGACCTGATGGTCCCGAAAATTTTTTTTATAGAGAAAACTTGGACCTGAGGGACCCGAACATTTTTTTCTATAGAAAAAAACTTGGACCTTTTTGTTTATAAAAAACTTGGACCCATGTGTCTCAGGATTTTTTTTCTATAGAGAAAACTTCTGCCTGAGGGTCTCCAATTTTGTTTTTTTTTTTTTTAAATTTCGAACTGAGGTTCTCCGATTTTTTTTTGTATACAAGAAAACTTCGTCCTGAGGGTCTCAAAATTCGAATCTCAATTCGGACATTTTTTTTTGTAGGAAAAAATATGCCGAACCTCAATTCGGACATTTTTTATAGAAAAAAATCGAAAAACCTCAGTTCGGACTGTTTTTGGACTGCCTGAGGGTCTTCAGTTTTTTTTTTATAAAAAAAATCGAACTATAGAAAAAAATCCGCCAAATTTCGGAAAAAATCGCCAAACCTTAGTTCGGAACTTTTTTCTATGGAAAAAAAAATCCGCCGAACCTCACTTCGTGCATTTTTTCTTTTATATTTTTTCTATTTTTTCTATTAAAAAAAATCCGCCGAACCTCAGTTCGGAAATTTTTTCTATATAAAAAATCCGACCTTAACCTCTTTACCCAGCTTCATTTCACTTTTCTAAGCGCAGGTCCATTTTTTTATACATTCATTTACAGTTTTTGTTTTTTGTTCAAGAAGTCATTCTCAGTTCAGTTTTTTGTGGGTATTTTTTTTTTTCACAAACTCACCTGACCATATCATCTTTTTGCGATGACGATGAACTTCGATAGGCTGGACCCACATTCATTTTACGATCGTGATACGAGGAGGAGGACAGCCCGTCGCTTTGATGGTAATGTGCTGACGTCGGCTGCTGTTGCTGCGACTGCTGCTGGTGGTGATGGTGGTGGTGTTGGTGGTGATGAGCCGCCTGCGACTGGGAGGAGTGTTGCTGCTGGTGGTGGTGGTGATGATGCGATTGATGCTGTTGGTGATGCTGATGCGAACGCCTCGAAGTCGTTGAGGAACTATGCTTGTTATAACTATTATCCTCGGATATATCATCGAAGGCAGGGGGTGGTGTTGAACTGCATGATGGTGTTGTGCCTAGCGATAAATAAATGAGAGATAAATGAGATAGAGAGAGTAAGAGATTGTTTTTTTTTTCAATAGTAAAGAGAGAACAAATTTTTAGGCTACTAGTATTTGTAAGGAAGGGTTGAGGTGGGGTTCAGGGAGTTGGGGATGCGGATTTTTTTGGTTCAAGCATTTGAAATGCATTTTTTAATGATTCAAAAAAATTTGTTTTTGTTAAAAAATTAGCCAAGCATTGAAAAGCCTTTTCGGTGCTGCCCTGCTGCTGGATGAGCCAATGATATAGGTCTGAGCGCAACAACGACAACAACAACAACAACGATTAACTAAAATTCAACAAAACTACTACGTCTACTACTAAATGGTGGATCAAGATTCAAACTAGGTGGAGGAGGTAAGCCGCCATCCTTGATTTTATTTTTGGGCAATTTTTTCAAGGCATTTTTTTTCATTTCAGATTCGTTGATGGGGTCCTCCGGATGATGGGCGTTATTGGCAGAGGTGGTGGTTTTGGTGTTGGTATTGGAATCGTTCGTTCGTTTCAATTTCTTGCTTTTCTTGTTGCGGCGCTCCCGTTCGGTTTTATCCCAGCGGGTGTGGGGATAATATTTGCGAGCGCCAATCTCACTGCTGTTCCTGCGGACATATTCGTCTCCGCCGCCAATGCCGATCGCACCACCTTTGTTGTGATAAGCAGCAGCAGCTGGTGCTGGAGCATCACTGTAAATACTATGCAGTTCAGAGAGTTCATCATCCTGCTGCTTCTGAATTTTCGTGGAACGCACCCTCCTGGACCTGTGAGACTTTTCCAAGTCCTGTTTAACTTCTATAAAGGCATGCATAGATTGTAAAAGATTATCTTCAAATGGCTCACAGCTATCATCGGCCAGGGCCATGTCCGCATATTGCATATACTGCAGGCGTTTCTCCCGCTTCCTTTGGGCCCGCTGGGCACGAGTTTCGCGGCGCATCTCCTCTTTGTCCTCCTCATTCTTAGCGGCATGCCTTGGCACACTACGTTCACTAACCTCTGAGGGTATGGGTGGGAAACTATACACAATGGAGGCAGCGACCGATGGACGCCGCCCAGCCATGAGATTATTCTGCCGATGGAACATATCGACATGATTTAGCGGGCGAACATGATGAGAGATGCGTGATCTAGCTGCGGAATATGTACTAGAAGCGGTTGATCTCACGGAATCTTTGCGGCGCATCATCATCGCGGTGGTAGTTGTTTTTTGCGGGACGGCGGTAATTTGTGGTGGAAGTGGTATTGGTGGAGGTGCGATTTTTACCGGACTCTCGGGGCCACCAATACCCTCAAACAGGTCATGTAACTCCAGCCAGTCCTGGACATTGCTGGGCGAACGGCGATCCCCAAAACGTGGCAAATCCTCCTCCGGCTGTGGTGGTGGTTTCAGGCTGGACATTAGACCCTTGCTGCTGCTGCTGCGGTCACGTTTCCCATTCCTATCCCTAGAATAATTATCATCGCTGATGCTGTTGTTGTTGTTGTCGTCGTCGTAATTGTGCGTCGTCATCGTGGTGTCTTTCTGTTTGGTTTTATGTTTCTTATTACGATTCGCTTTAGTTTCAATACCTGGTGTGGTGGAAAGGGCCCGAGTGGAGCCTCCGCCACCGCTAACACTACCGCCTCCTCCTCCCTCAAGCTGATTATCGCTGTCACCTCGGCGTCTGGGTGAACCTCTGGGTGGTACGGGCGGTGGTACTTTGGCCTTTAAGGTGGCACCCGAGCCACCACCTCCTCCTCCTCCCGAGGGATTACGTTGCTTAACCGGTGGGGCTGCCATGGATTTTAAGGTGGACACCGACGTACTGGCTACTGGACCACCAGCCGCTGACATTTTGCCACCGGCTATGTGAGATTTTTTATGTTGTTGTACTGTCGCTGTCGGTGGATGATGTGGGGCATGACCATGATCTGCATATCCGAAAAACGACAAAAAACAAAAAAATTCAAATCAAATTTTTTGAGGTTGAAATTTTTTCTCTAATTTTTAATGGATATTTTTTTTTAATTTCTAATTTTTTTTAAGTGTAAAAATGTGTGTGTGTGTGTGTGAATATTCGTTTTTTGTTGTTTTTTTTTTTTTGGTTTCTTTACCTCTTGCCTCATTTTCACTATCTATGGAACGTTGTATTGCTTTCGACAGACTTTTTCGCTTCGATGGTGAGTGCTTGAGAGCTAGATTTTTTCCAATCAGGATTTTTTTGACATGCCCAGTTTTGTCATACAGCCAATAGAGATTTTCATTTTCATATTTTTGCAGCAGGCAAATGATGTTGTTATGTGCATTTTTTGGCATTCGGAAATTATATAAAAAAAGTTTGAATTTATTAATTAGCAAAATATTCAGCATCGGCTTTTTATTTTTTTTTAATTCCTAGTGCACTTCAAATACGAACTTAAAAAATTAAAAAGCACGCAAATAATTCAAAAATGCTTTAAATTTTTTTTTTGAGATCAAAATAAAATGTTGCAGTTTTTTTAATAAATATGAAAATGTTGATATGTTAATGGTTTATGATAAAAAAAGATTTCAATTTTATTTTGAAAAAAAAAATATATTTTTTACCTGATTTCACATCAGGGTTACACAAATTTCATATAAAGCCAATAATTTAAATTTTTTTTATTAATTTATTTATTATTTTATAAAAAATCTGCTCAAAATATTGGATATTGAATAACTTATGACTATAATTTGGGGATATTTTTTGTAAAAAAAAGATTTGCTTTCAGTTTTTATAAAAAAATATGAACTTCTGAATAATTGTTTATAGAACAATTGGGGTTTTCTATAGAAAAATCCGTATTCACCTTCTAAGAATTTTTTCTATAGAAATGTACATAAATGATTTTATAATTTTTTTAAATACTTTCTTTACAAATGTTCGAACATATTCGAATACCATTTAGTACCAAATTTCATGATTCGAGCTCTACAGGTTCACCCAAATTCAAATTGTACCAAATTTAGCACACATATTTTCCAAGAGTACCCACCTCAACCATCCAACAAAACGACCTGCATACCGCGATCCTACACCCTCTCAATGATTCCAAATTCAAATTTCAGAATTCCAAGTCTATGGTTCACCCTCAATTTAAATTGTACCAAATTTAGTACACAATAGTACGAATTTCCAATAATTCCTACTGAACCCAAACTCACATCCCCACAGTTATCCTAAATCCAAGTTTCAGTATTCCAACTCTATCGGTTCACCCACAATTCAAATTGTGATCCTGACTCCAAATTTCATGATTCTAGCTCTATTGGTTCAATTAAAATTCAAATTGTACCAAATTTAGTACCATTTAGTAACCATAAGTATTAATTTCTTAAACTGAATCCTGACCCCAATCCCACACCCCTACAGTGATCCTGACTTCAAATTTCATTGTTCCCATTCTATCGGTTCATCCAAATCCAAACTCTACCGATTATAGTACGATTTAGTACTTTTCGTACACATAAGTAAAAAATTTCCAAAACTACGTACATATCCCAATCCTACACTCCGACGGTAATGTTACTTTCAATTTTCAGGATTCCAGCTCCATTTGTACCTCCAAATCAAATTTGTACCAAATATAGTACCATATAGTACTTTTCGTACACATGTATACACGCTTTTAAAACCATCACCTTAAATAGACTCTACATCTCAACCCTAATTTGCATTCCAAATTTCAACTTTTTAGCGCTACTCGTTCACATGCTACAGAATTGTACCAAATTTAGTACATTTTCGTACTTTTCGGATAGTTACAGTTTGAATTTCCAAAACCCCTTTGGCACATCTATCCTACACTCCATCAACGACCACCAACCAAAGTTCTAGCTCTACCGGTTCGCCAAATACAAATGATACCACATTTAGACTTTTCGTACCGTTCTAGTACGAATTTCCAAAAAACCCAGCCTTATCTGTCACATTTGGACCAAGAGTGACCCTTACCCAAAATTTCAAGATTCTAGCTTCACCCGTTTCGTCTGGGCGTTGATGAATCGTTAAATCAGTCAGTCAAACACTTTTATTAGTATAGATTTACAGGTTCTTATGTATTCAGATATTATTTCGTAACCCATTACTACACTAGCGGGCCGAAATATAGCGCTGATCGCTTTGAAATATTCCATGAGGTTCCAGTTTTACAATAACTGGACAACGCCTTTAATTTTCGGTGATGATCAGACAATAATTTTGGGATGAAGTGGATCGAAATCTTTATTTTTGGTGTTTTTTTTCGATTCGATCTATAGGCTGCAATTATAAGCCGAACATCACAACACAACCCACGATGAAGGGAATCTGGACAAGTAATTTAAAGGGCTGTACTGAACATTAGTAATATTCGGAAAATGTGTCAGTTAAGGAAGAGGTGCTGTTGACCTCTAATCGGGCAAGAGGGTGCAACTAATACGAAATATTACCCATGCTCGGAATTTAAATCTGCAGAAAGAGTTCTGTGGTAGTTGTGTAGGGTATCGTATTGTCGGCCCCGTCCGACTATATTGCTCCGTTCACTGGTTTACGTTTTATACCCTACACAACTATGTTGTCAGGGTATTATAGCTTTGTGCAGCCCCAAGAGTTTGTAACGCCGCGAAATATTGGTCCTAGACCCACCTTTAAGTATACCGATCGTCATATCTCGACTAACTGAATCGATCTAGACATGTGTGTCCGTCCGTCTGTCCATTATAATTTGTAAACACGATACAGGCCACAGTTATGGACCAATCTTCACGAAATTTTGCATGTAGGATGGGTTCTGGCCAATGAAGACCCATATTGTTTTTGGTAAAGATCGGTTAATATATAGGGGATGAAATGGACCAAATACTTAATTTTTGTCGGTTTTTCTGATCGCTCTAGAGCCCTCAATTATGGTCCGAACATCTCGAAATTTTACATGGAGAAGGGGATAGGGCCAATGAATAAGTATGCCCGATTTGATAAGGATCGGTCAATATTTAGCGGATCAAATGGACACTGACTTTTGTGTGAAAAATTAGAAAATTTGTATACAATGACGTAAATTTTCCATGAGGTTCCAGTTATGGTCAAGGACAACGCCTATAACTTTCGGTGATGATCAGATTATAATTATGGGATGAAGTGGACCGAATACTTAATTTTTTTGTGTTTTTTTCGAGTCGATGCCAATAATAGGCCGAACATCACAACACAACCCACGGTGAAGGGAATATGGACAAGTAATTAGAAGGGCTGTACTGAATATGAATAGTAATATTCGGAAAATATGTCAGTGTAAGGAAGAGGTGCTGTTGACCTCTAATCATGCTAAAGGGACGAATTATTGCCCAGGCTCGGAATAAACATCCGCAGAAAGTTAGCGTTCCGTGGTAGTTGTGTAGGGTATCGTATGGTCGGCCCCGTCCGACTATACTGCTCACTGGTTTAAAACAATGTTCGAAAAAATTAAAAAATCGTAGGTTATAAAAAGTTTACAATAAAATAAAAAGGAAGAAAAATTCACAGTTATAAAAATGTTTTTTAACTACCGCTTATAAAAATTCGTAAAAAAGCATTTGTTTAAAAAACCCGCATTTTTTTTAATTTAATAAATAAATAAAGTATCTATTTTTCTAAATCCACGGTTTTTTATTATTTGTTGTATTATTTGTTCCTAGAAATGTAGAGTTTTTATTTTGAGCAGATTTTTTTTTTAATTTTTTTTATAAAAATTTTTAAATAATAATTTTGAAATTACTATATCTATTATTTTTCCATTATAGTTTTTTATATTATTTTTTTTTGTTTTTTTTTCATTAATTCGCTAACATTTACCTATATAACTGGATACCAAAGTACGAAATTTTCTATGATTTCCTTTGATCTCGGGGAGATCCACTGTGCATTTTCGTTTTTTGTTTTGTTTTTGTTTTTTGAAATAAAAAAAAAATATAGAAAAATGTGAATATGAAACATTGTTGAGGATAATATGATAAAGAGATTATTTTTATCCTGCTTGCAAGACAGATGACAGAATCAAATGTTCAACAAACTCTAGCGGGTCAAGGCGCTCTCAAAATTGTTACTTCAAATAAATTTTTACAAAAATTTGATGTGGAGGTGATAGCGAAGGAAATGACAAAAGTTTAAACATTTTTATTGAATATTTTTTCAATATACTTTTTTTTTATCTCCCCATATAGGGTAAAAATATATTTATAAAAATTCCACGATTATGACGTTACTATATTCAAAAAAGGAGTTCCGAATAGTCCCAAAAAATATATTTTAAAAGATCAAACCTTATAAGCTTTTAAGAAAAAAGTATTCTCAAAAGTCTTTAATTATGTTCAGTAAAATATTTCCAAAAACTTTTATATGAGGTCCTTATAGTCCTCGATTTTTTTTATTAATTTTTCTCTTGTCACTTTCCCCTAATCACCATCACATTTGTTAAATTTTTGTGCAAAATCATTTTTTGTTTTTTGTAATTTTTATTTGTTTTTTTGTTGTTGTTGTTTGTGATTGAATTGAAGAAAACTTACGAGACGGTATTTTACGAAATACAGTTTTGGCCATGAAATTTTGAAATCTTTGAGCATAAAATGAAGGACGACACACTGAAACAGTATCCTTGAGAGATGTGTAAAGAAAAATTGGTTTGAATTTATAAATTAAATATTTTTTTTTGTTTTTTTTTAATAAAAAATTAGCTGTAAGATAATATCCACAGATAAACAAGATAAAGATAAATAATCGCTTGGACTTACACCATCATGAATGATACTCTTGAAGGTATGTTCCAGTTTCTTTTTCAGCCGATACGATTGTAAAATATCAATGATGCCAATGAAGAGCAGCAGGCGTTCACCCTTTTCACTGCGGGCCGGAATGCCACCGGGTCTGAAAGGGGGGAAAAATAATTTAATTGGAAATAATTATAATAATTCGCAGGAATTTGTCCTAAAAATGTCGCAGGAATTTGTCCTAAAAATGTCGCAGGAATTTGTCCAAAAATATTTTTGTTAAATCCACACCAGTCCATGGTCCATAAAAAATCCACGCCTTGTGTAGGTCCTTGAAAAAATATCCTTTATAAAATCCACGCCTTGTGTAGGTCCTTGAAGAAATATCCTTTGTAAAATCCACGCCTGAGTCCTTAAAAAATATCCTTGTCTAAGTCCTTAAAAATATCTTTGAAAAAATCCACTCCTGAGTCCTTAAAAAATATCCTTGTCTAATTCCTTAAAAAATATCCTTAAACATCCACGCCTGAGTCCTTAAAAAATATCCTTAAAAATCCACGCCTGAGTCCTTAAAAAATATCCTTAAAAATCCACGCCTGAGTCCTTAAAAAATATCCTTAAAAATCCACGCCTGAGTCCTTAAAATATCCTTGTCTAAGTCCTTAAAAAATATCCTTGTCTAAGTCCTTAAAAAATATCCTTTAAAAAATCAACGCCTTGTGTAGGTCCTTGAAAAAATATACTTTAAAAAATCCACGCCTTGTGTAGGTCCTTGAAAAAATATCCTTCAAATAATACACGCCTTGTGTAGGTTCTTGAAAAAATATCCTTTAAAAAATCCACGCCTTGTGCAGGTCCTTGAAAAAATATCCTTTAAAAATCCACGCCTTGTGTAGGTCCTTGAAAAAATATCCTTTAAAAAATCCACGCCTTGTGTAGGTCCTTGAAAAACTATCCTTTAAAAAATCCACGCCTTGTGTAGGTCCTTGAAAAACTATCCTTTAAAAAATCCACGCCTTGCCTATGTGCTTAAAAACTATCTCTGAAAATCCACGCCTTGCCTGAGTGCTTAAAAAATATCTCTGAAAATCCACGCCTTGTCTGAGTCCTTGAAAATTAGTCTTTAAAAAATCCACGCCTTGTCTGAGTCCTTGAAAATTAGTCTTTAAAAAATCCACGCCTTGTCTGAGTCCTTGAAAATTAGTCTTTAAAAAATCCACGCCTTGTCTGAGTCCTTGAAAATTAGTCTTTAAAAAATCCACGCCTTGTCTGAGTCCTTGAAAATTAGTCTTTAAAAAATCCACGCCTTGTCTGAGTCCTTGAAAATTAGTCTTTAAAAAATCCACGCCTTGTCTGAGTCCTTGAAAATTAGTCTTTAAAAAATCCACGCCTTGTCTGAGTCCTTAAAAAATTTTCTTTAAAAAATCCACGCCTTGTCTGAGTCCTTGAAAATTAGTCTTTAAAAAATCCACGCCTTGTCTGAGTCCTTGAAAATTAGTCTTTAAAAAATCCACGCCTTGTCTGAGTCCTTAAAAAATATTCTTTAAAAAATCTACGCCTTGTGTAGGTCCTTGAAAAAATATCCTTTAAAAAATCCACGCCTTGTGTTGGTCCTTGAAAATTAGTCTTTAAAAAATCCACGCCTTGTGTAGGTCCTTGAAAAAATATCCTTTAAAAAATCCACGCCTTGTGTAGGTCCTTGAAAAAATATCCTTTAAAAAATCCACGCCTTGTGTAGGTCCTTGAAAAAATATCCTTTAAAAAATCCACGCCTTGTGTAGGTCCTTAAAAATATCCTTTAAAAAATCCACGCCTTGTGTAGGTCCTTGAAAAAATATCCTTTAAAAAATCCACGCCTTGTGTAGGTCCTTGAAAAAATATCCTTTAAAAAATCCACGCCTTGTGTAGGTCCTTGAAAAAATATCCTTTAAAAAATCCACGCCGTGTGTAGGTCCTTTAAAAAATCCACGCCTTGTGTAGTTCCTTGAAAAAATATCCTTTAAAAAATCCACGCCTTGTGTAGGTCCTTGAAAAAATATCCTTTAAAAAATCCACGCCTTGTGTAGGTCCTTGAAAAAATATCCTTTAAAAAATCCACGCCTTGTGTAGGTCCTTGAAAAAATATCCTTTAAAAAATCCACGCCTTGTGTAGGTCCTTGAAAAAATATCCTTTAAAAAATCCACGCCTTGTCTGAGTCCTTGAAAATTAGTCTTTAAAAAATCCACGCCTTGTCTGAGTCCTTGAAAATTAGTCTTTAAAAAATCCACGCCTTGTCTGAGTCCTTAAAAAATATTCTTTAAAAAATCCACGCCTTGTCTGAGTCCTTAAAAAATATTCTTTAAAAAATCCACGCCTTGTCTGAGTCCTACAAATATCCTTGAAAAAATCCACGCCTCTTTTGATCCTTGAAAAAGTTTTATTTAAAACCCTCCCATTTTGGACATTCGTCACATCGAACCATTTTCTAAGCGTGTGTGTGTTTTTTTTACTTACGGCATATCCTCTTCATCATCAATGGGTTCACTTTCAGCCTGTATACTCTCCATGGCCGTGGAGTGGGCTACCAAACGTTGGCGATTCGAGCGATAGGCCGCACTAAAAATACGAACAATTCTTGGATTAGTAGATCATCCTCCTTGAATACCTTCTCGCCCCACTCACCTATTGCGTTGTATATTGCTTTGCGTTTCTTCATCCTGATTATCCGACGTTGTCTCTGTACCACGAGCATTATCCTCATCCGATTCCTCGGATTGCGATGATTTGGCCTGCTTTCGTGTCTTCTGCTTTTCCTTTGAGGCCAAATCTAAATTGTGTACGCCCAGCAGTAGGGAATAGTCCATAATTTTAAATGATTCCAGTACCGTACAATCCCGTTGTATTGTCTTAATCAAGGCCGAATAGGTTTCAGCCTCGAGGAATATACCATTCGGATGCTGTTCCATAAAATCTAAATCCTTAAATGTTGGCGATTTCTTGGCACGTTCCGCTTTATTGGCTTTGCGTTTAAACGTCGATCCCTTCAGATCGTATTTCAGATGCATTTTCACATAGGAAGGCAGCAGATTGTTCATCACCACCAGACGGATGTTCTTGGCATTGTTGGTCTGCAGGCAGTACAGGCCGAAGAACTTCGGCAAAAGGGTACGGGGATTTTGATTTAAATTCATGTAGTAACTGAAAAAAAGAGGAAATTATTTTCTTTTCTTGGAGATCTTCTTAACTTCTTCTTCTCTGCTTACCCTGGCAATAATTTTTGCAAAAATTCCCCCTCCTTGTGCTGCACCGTCTTAATGATAAATTCATCGTCATGCGTCAAATAGAATATGGAACCCGATGCACCCGGATTCGACAGCTCCCGCAATGGTGACGAACACATGGACATCATAAAATCATCCGGCTGGATGCCGAACAAATCTCTAAAGTAACGAAATGCTATCGGCGCATAAATTTTATAACGAAATTCACTATAGTGGTGGGCAGGCGTAAGGCTAGAACCTTCGGGCGGAAAGACAATACTTTCGATTTCCCAAAAGTCCATCATAAGTAGATCACGTTTTGGTTTAGAGGCTAAACTACCGACCTGTTTGGGGAAAGGGAGACACAATTAAAATTAATATTCGAAAAATTCCGAAAATAAGTCAGAGCTTCCGCTTACCGTATGCTGTATACCCAATTGTATGGAACCCATAATCTGTGAGGTCTGTATCTTTTTATAGGTGATCTCACCACCCTCACCGACACGCCTATGGCCAATTTTACGCTCCTTATCACTTTTGGTACGCTGTTTACCCGGGGTCTAAAAAAGCCAAGGAGAGAAGAGAGATTAGTTAAAATAAGTCGAGCTAAAATTGAGATTGTGCGAACTTACCTCCGAAATGGATGAGTCTTGGGCATCTGAAAAAAAATAAAAAAATTAATTAAAAATATAGGTCAACTACAAATGAAAAGGATAAAAATGATACCCTGAGAGGAGCAATCCTGAAACTAAACATAAACAAGTCTCAGCTGAGATAGAAATGCCGCAGAAATCATCCAGGAAACCAGAGAGACTGTCTGAAGCGTTGGAAGACTTCTAATAGAGAATCTGAAGCCGATCAGAACCTGAAGAACCGGGAGGAAGAGACAACTACAGAGAAGATTTATAGTCCTACGAAATCCTCCAGAAAAATCACAGATATTTTTAAATAGCAAATTTGAACTTTAAAGAGTATTTCGTAGAGAACCTGAGAGTTTCAGTAGAGAAGATGAAGTCCACCAGAAGACAAATGGAAGAGATTAAAGCTGAAAGCTTTCTCAAAGATAACCTAAAACAGGGTGTGGGGAGAATAGACGACGTCCTAAAGTTCTGGGAGTCATTCAATAGAACTAGAAGACTGAAAGCCGATTAGAAGGCAAAGAGAAGTGCTAAAACCCAAAAGATCTCTAAAAAACGACCTGAAGGATAGGGAATTAGAGAACGGATGACATTAAGAGTCGAGATGACATTAAAGTCCTATAAAATATTTCGAACAAACCTGGGATTTTCATTAATGGCAAGCCCAAAGTTCTGGGAATATTTCGCAGTCGTCCTAAATTTATAGGGGTATTTCAAAAGAGTACCTAAGCCGAATAGAGGAAAAGACAAAAATTATCATAGGTCTTTGTGGTCTTAGAGTCTAAACACAACCAGAGAGTCTTATTGGCAACGGGAAATCCCGATAAAATGACCTACATGAATGAGATAAGCAATGAACAAACCGAAACTAGTACCGATCTTCCCTTTGTGGAATAGTCACTTTAATGTATTTCATTTCGGAACGATACAACTCTAGATAAGCTTGAAGTAAAGTTGAGCGGTTTCGTTCTCTTTCGGTTAGCTTCGAAAAATATCATTCATTTAGTTCCATTGGTACGATCAGGAGTGTCGTAATGCTACTGATATGAAAAATGCAGCGTATAGGACAACCCTGCGGACAGTAGAAACACGTAATGCGATGGATAACTATCAGGAGAAAAGGAGAGAGGAGAAACGTATTTTCAGAAAAAAATAAGAAAGCACAAGAAAAACGTGAGCGTGAGCAAATCGAGATGTACAGGAGTCAGAATGAAGTCCAGAAATTCTACCAACGGGTAAAACACCAAACCAAAGGCTTTGGTGCAGGCACAACCTCCTGTAGAGATGGAGAAGGTAACCCGGTGACAGATATAGACAGCGTGCTGAGGATCTGGAAGGAGCATTTTGAAAAACTGGTATCAAATATTAGCGGCGAAGAGGATACCCCAGAACCAATAATAGTTGACGGTATAGAGTGTATACCACCTATCCAAGATGAGATCAGAATAGCAACCAATCGGCTGAAGAATAATAAAGCAGCAGGTGCCGGTGGGTTACAATCCGAACTATTCAATACTGGTGATCAGATGCTGGTAAGGAGCATGCACCAGCTGATTAGTACAATTTGGTTAGATGAATGCATGCCCAATGATTGGAACCGCAGCATCCTGTGTCCCGTGCACAAAAAAGGAGACAAGACGATATGTGCCAACTATAGAGGATTAAGCCTCCTTCCCATCGCATATAAAGTGCTGAAGCCAATGGTCAATGACATTATTGGACCATACCAATGCGACTTCAGACCTGGCAAATGCACTATTGACCAGATTTTCACTCTGCGCCAAATCCTGGAAAAAACCCACGAAAAAGACATCGACACATTCCACCTATTTGTCGACTACAAAGCAGCATTCGATAGCACAATCCGCTCTGAGGGTTTTAAAATACGGCTGTGCAGGATAACTTTAACTGGCACAAGATCAACTGTTAAAGTCGGAAAGAAACTCTCGGAGACCGAACGAGGATTCATATTCAGGTGACAGTTTGTCGTGTGATCTTTTTAACATCCAGCTGGCACTCAGTACACTAGACAAAACATGTTACTCGCCTACGCCGATGACATCGACATAATGGGTCGAACATTGAGAGCGGTAACAGCCACCTTTGAACAAATTGAGAAGGAGTCTGCCAAAAATGGGTCTGGCAGTAAACGGCGAAAAGACTAAGCTGATGGTACAACGCCCAAGACATCCAGTAGACTTGGACCAACTGTGGAACTTGAGAACTACAGCTCCAAAGTAGTCAAAGATTTTATATACCTTGGTACGGCCATAAATAAAACTAATCACATCAGTTTTGAAATTCGGAGAAGGATAGTGTTGGCCTACAGATGCTACTATGATCTGAGTAAGCAACTCAAAAGCAAGGCCACCTCCCGCCAGACCAAACTCACACTCTACAAGACGCTGATACTACCCTTGCTATTATATGGATCAGAAGCATGGGTACTTACGCAAGCATGAGGCAGCTCTTGGAGTGTTTGAGAGAAAAATTCTCCGAAAGATCTATGGGTCGATCTGCGTTGACGGTGAATATCGCCGTCGAATGAACCATGACTTGTACCAGCTATTCTCGGACATCGGCATTGTTAGACATATTGAGCTGCAGCGACTACGTTGGCTAGGTCATGTTGTGAGAATGGATGAAGATGCCCCAATGATTCTAAATCCAAGTTTCAGGATTCCAACTTTATCAGTTGACTCACAATTCAAATTGTACCAAATTTAGCACACAGTAGTACGAATTTCCAAAACTTCCTACATATTTCAATCTTACATCTCAACAGTGATCCTGACTCCAACATTTCATGATTCTAGCTCCATTAGTTCAACTAAAATACAAATTGTACCAAATTTAGTACCCATAAGTATTAATTTGTTAAACTGAATCCTGATCCTAAATCTACACCCCTACAATGATCCTGACTTCAAATTTCATTGTTCCCGCTCTATTTTTATTATTTTTATTTTTCGTACACATAAGTATTGCAGGAAATTTTCGATTTGCAGGAAATTTGGCACATCGTAACGAATTAGGTCTAGAATGATGTGTGTTAAGTTTCGTGAAAATCGGTTCAGATTTAGATATAGCTCCCATATATATTTTCGTCCGATTTAAGGTAAATGGTGTACCAAAGTCCCTTAATATATTTCGGTTTACACGAAATTTGGCACATCGTAACGAATTAGGTCTAGAATGATGTGTGTTAAGTTTCGTGAAAATCGGTTCAGATTCAGATATAGTTCCCATATATATTTTCGTCCGATTTAGGGTAAATGGTGTACCAAAGCCCCTATATATCTTTCGATTTGCACGAAATTTGGGACAGCGTAATGAATTAAGGCTAGAATGATGTGTGTTAAGTTTCGTGAAAATCGGTTCAGATTTAGATATAGCTCCCATATATATTTTCGTCCGATTCAAGGTAAATGGTGTACCAAAGTCCCTTAATATATTTCGGTTTACACGAAATTTGGTATAGAGTAATGAATTAGGTCTAGAATGATGTGTGTTAAGTTTCGTGAAAATTGGTTCAGATTTAGATAAAGCTTCCCTATATATTTTCGTCCGATTTAAGGTAAATGGTGTACCAAAGTCCCTATATATCTTTCGATTTGCACGAAATTTGGCACAGCATAATGAATTAGGTCTAGAATGATGTATGTTAAGTTTCGAGAAAATCGGTTCAGATTTTGATATTGCTCCCCTATATATTTTCGTCCGATTTGGGTTAATGGGGTACCAAAGTCCCTTAATATATTTCGGCTCGCACGAAATTTGTCACAGCATAATGAATTAGGTCTAGAATGATGTGTGTTAAGTTTCGTGAAAATCGGTTCAGATTTTGATATTGCTCCCCTATATATTTTCGTCCGATTTAAGGTAAATGGTGCACCAAAGTCCCTTAATATATTTCGGTTTACACGAAATTTGGTACAGCGTAATGAATTAGGTCTAGAATAATGTGTGTTAAGTTTCGTAAAAATCGGTTCAGATTTAGATATATCTTCTATATCTGACCAAATGAAAAATTGAGTATCGGTTGCTGAATGTTGCATGTTTATGGATCTAATTTCATTTTACTGGTCGTTTAAACGTCTGTTAGGATTCATTTGTTGAATATAGCCAAAGTGGTGAAGGGTATCATATAGTCGGCCCGTGTGACTTTACTACTTTCCTTACTGGTTTTTTCTTGTTTGTGCAAAAACAATATTAAAATTCAAACAAATGTCAAAACATTCCCCCAGCTGTCAAAAAACATAAACAAACCACTTCAAATTAACATATTCCAGTTGGAAGAGAGGAAGAGCGGAAGATAACAAAAGTGCGAAACAAATTTGTGACACATGTTCTCTGTTAACCACTCTCATGAACATGAATTTATAACGGAAACGCGCTCACTATCTCTCTCTCTTTGTGATTTTGAGGGCATAACTATTCCAATAGGAATACAATACATCGTATTCTTGTGTCAGTTTAGCGATTTTCATTGATTTTTTTTCTTCGCTGACATTGTAATGATTTTTTTTGTCGAAGGGAATATTTTCTCGATTTTTTTTTTTTAAGGAGGAGCAGTATCCCATTCTTGTTTAACAATTTATGATATTAAACTTTCGAACATACACACATAGGGTAACAGATAATACACACACACGTAGTCATCTATCATTAATGGCAAAAAATCTCTTCCTTTAGGAATTTATGTAATGCAAATTGTGTTTGTAATTTATTTTTTTTTTTCGTTGGATTTTACCTTCACGGTCGGATGTGAATTTTGTATTAGATGTTGAAGATACATCCGGATCTATGGAGCTAATACCAACTCCTCCCGATGCCATGATGATGGGGAATTCTGTTTCCTCGTTTTTTTGCTTCTTAAAAATATGGGTAACAGGAATAATGACCGCTATGCTAGGGTATTATGAATTTTTCAGGGCTAGACAATATTCGATGAGGTTCACTATCACCGCGATATCACATTCATTCGTTAATCACGAATTTCTAAAACACTTTTCCATTTCAATTTTTCACATATAGGACAAACATTTTTATACACTTTCTGAATTTTTTCTTTAATTTTTTTCTGTTGGCTTGAGATTGGAAAACGCGAAAAGTAGTGGTGGTTGGTTGATTGCTTGCTTTGGAGGGCGGCGTCAATGATTTTCTATTTTTTTTTTTTTTTACGAAGTAAATGAAAATTTTTCAAGAAACTGAAAACCCCAATGACTTTAATGCAACGAAAAAAAAATCGGATTTAAGTTTTTGCACTATGAAAAATCTTTTGATTTATTGCTTTTCGGGATATCGAACTGTGTACTACCACCGCTGTCGTGTTACTTAATCACTGCCTCATTCACTTGGGTTGGTCGGCGAGGGGGAAGATTTTTCTTTTCTTTGCAATTTTCTTTTTTTTTTCATTTAATTTTTCTTCCTCCAGTGATTTTTTTAATTATTGTATTGAAAAAACACAAAAAACTGAACACAAAACACGATTTTATTGAACAGAAAAAAACCTTGGAGCCACTCTACTACTCTTGCTTTTGTTGTTTTTGTTGAATGGTGATTTGTCGTCGTCGTTTTTTTACTACTGCTGTCACTACTACTGCATACTTATAGGATAAAAATGCTCTGCTCTGGAAGACAGCTAACTAAAAAAATCCGAACACATACGCGAGAGCAGGAAGAAGAAGAACCAGCAGCATTAGACATGAAAATATCCCCCAAAAAATAATATTCCAATACAGACAGACAGCAGGCAAAGCACAGTGTTGCATGACATTCATTGCTGGGAGAGAGCATAATATCCGGCTGAAGAGTTGTTTCGAACAACGGCAACAAACGAAGTGGCAACGCCGGTCCCAAAAATATCATCGCTGAACATGTGTTTTAACGGTTTTTATGTAAAAAATAGTTTGACAGCTGTGTTAATAAAGAGAGTAGGATTAAGATAAGGTTAGAGAGAGAGCGAAGAGAAGAGAGTGTGGACTTTAAAGAGATTTTGAGTAACCAAAAAAACTCCCCCTTTCAAACCCCAAATAAATTAAAGAAAACCAAACATTATTTTTTTTCTAATTTACCTGTTTTCCTATATCCGTTTTGGTTGTTGTTGTTTTTAACATCCACCACCACCATCACCGGTTACCAATGTTACCGCTTTAAAATTTTCAAAAAATAATTCAAAAATACCCAAAATTTTGGTCTTTCAAAAATTTTGAAAATTTATTAAAAATCTCAACAAAAAATCGACGTTTAGTAACCTTTGAAATTACCTCAAAAAAGTCCTGGCAAAGGGGCTTTCAAAAATTCATAAAAAAATCTACCGAAAAGCGAATTTCGAACAATTCATTAAAAATCCCTCAAAAAAAAAAAAAAAAATCGAAGCTTAGACGACTTTAAAATTCCTGAAATGCGGATATTTAGGGGCTTTAAAAAATCATGCAAAAAATCTGATGCTCAAGTGACAGCTTTAAAATTTTCAAAAAATAATTCAAAAATACCCAAAATTTTGGTCTTTTAAAAATTTTGAAAATTTATAAAAAAATCAGGCTTAAAAATCTCCAAAAAAAAAATCGACGTTTAGAAACCTTTAACCTAACCTATGGGGCTTTTAAAAATTCTTAAAAAAAAATCTACTGAAAAGCGAATTTCGAACAATTCATTAAAAATCCTTAAAAAAGGCTTAGGCGAATTTAAAATTCCTGAAATTTAGGGTATTTAGAGGCTTTAAAAAAATCATAAAAAAAAATCTTACAAAAAATCTGATGCTGAGTTGACTTTAAAGATTCTTGAAATATGCCGGCATAGGGGCCTCTAAAAATTCATTAAAAAAAAACTACCCGAAATTTTAAAATTCGTAAAAAAATCTACCGAAAATCGAATTTCGAGAAATAATTAAAACCTAAAAATAAAATAAATAAATAAAAATCGATACTTAGAAATATAGATATTTAGAGGGCTTTAAAAATTCATTAAAAAAGCTTACGAAAAATCGTTACTTAGGCGACTTTAACATTCCTGAATTACGCTTATTTAGAGGGTTCTAAAAAGTCATAAAGACGACTTTAAAAAAATTTGAAATATGCAGGCTTAGGGCCTCTAAAAATTCATTAAAAAACTACCAGAAATTTTAAAATTCGTAAAAAAATCCACCGAAAATCGAATTTCGAAAAAATATTTAAAACCTCCTCGAAAAAAAATAAATAAAAATAAATAAATAATAAAAATAAATACTTAGAAATATAGATATTTAAAAAATAGATATTTGAAATATAGATATTTAGAGGGCTTTAAAAATTCATTAAAAAAGCTTCCGAAAAATTACTGAATTGCGCATATTTAGAGGGTTTTAAAAAGTCTTAAAAATATCTGCCGAAAATCTATGCTTAGACGACTTTAACAATTCTTGAAATATGCAGGCTTTGGGGCCTCTAAAAACTCATTAAAAAATTACTCGAAATTCGTTGTTAAGGGGCCCAAAAAGGAATTTCGAAAAAAAATAAATAAAAATTTCCAAAAAAGAGGCTTAGGCGACTTTCAAATTCCTGCAATATAGATATTTAGGTGCCTTTATAAAATTTGGAAAAAAATCTTGCTTAAAAATTCTTGAATTATGCATGCTTAGAGGCCTCTAAAAATTCCTTGAAAAATTACTCAAAATTCGTTGCTAAAGGGCTTTTAAAACTTCTTAAGAAATGTACCGAAAAGTGAATTCAAAAAAAGTTTCAAAAAAAGAAATAAAAATCGATATTTAGGCGACTTTAAAATACCCAAAATATAGAAGGCTTTAAGAATTCATAAAAACATCTTCCGAAAATCGATGCTTAGGCGACTTTAAAAATTTTTGAATTATACATGTCTAGAGGCATCTAAAAATTCCTTTACAAAATGACTCGAAAATTAATGTTAGGGTCCTCAAAAAAATCCCATAAAATCGATTAATTATGGACGATACCATCGATACTTAAGAGCCTTTAAAAATTCCTCAAAGAATCGATGCTTAAAGGTCTTGAAAAAATAACCTGAAATATCGATGCGTAGGGGCCTTAAAAATGTCTTTCATATTTGTTAAACAATTATCCGAAAAATCTATGAATAGGGACATTTAAATATATCTGAAAATTCGGGCCTTAAATATACCTGGAAAAGTAGATGCCTAGGGGCCTTTAAAAATTCATTAAAAAAACAACCTCTAAAATATATACTAAGGGACCGTCAATGCTTAGGCTCCTTTAAAAATCCCTCTAAAAACGATGCTTTGGGGCTTTTAAAAATGCCTCAGAAAATCGATACTCAAGAGACTTTAAAAATCCCATAACAAATCCATGCTTAGGAGGGGAATTTAAAACTCCCTTTAAAATCAGTGCCTAGGGACTTTTAAAAAATCATTAAAAATCTCTCAACAAAAATTATGCTTTGAAAATCTCTAAATCGATATTTAGGCGACTATAAAATACCTGAAATATATATATTTAGGGGGCTTTAAGAATTCATAAAAAAATCTTCCGGAAATCGATGTTTAGACGACTTTAAAAATTCTTGAATTATACATTAGAGGCCTCTAAAAATTCCCTAAAAAAGACTCGAAAATTGAAAAAAAAAAAAACACTAACAATCGATTAATTATGGACGATACCATGATACTTAAGAGCCTTTAAAAATTCATCAAAGAATCGCTGCTTAAAGGTCTTGAAAAAATAACCTGAAATAATCGATATTTCAGGGCAGTGGCCTTAAAAATGTCTTTCATATTTGTTAAACAATTATCCCAAAAATCTATGAGTAGGAACATTTAAATATATCTAAAAATTCGGGCCTTAAATATTCATGAAAAAGTAGATGCCTAGGGGCCTTTAAAAATTCATTAAAAAAACCCTCTAAAATATATGCTCAGGGGACTTTAAAAGCCAGAGCTAAAGCTTCTTTAAAAACAACTCTAAAACGATGCTTTGGGGCCTTTCAAAAATTCCTCAGGAAATCGATACTCAAGAGACTTTAAAAATTCATAAAAAAATCCACAACAAATCGATGTTTAGGAGGGGAATTTAAAACTCCCTAAAAAATCAGTACCTAGGTACTTTTAATAATTTATTAAAAAATCTCTCAACAAAAATGATGCTTAGGAGCCTCCAAAAATTATTTAAAAAAATATCTTTAAATAGGCGATGCCTAGGCACTTTTAAAAATTCATTAAAAACCCCTCTACAATATATTCTGTGGGACCGTTAAATGCCAATGCTTAGGCTCCTTTAAAAATCCCTTTAAAAAATCCTCAGAAAATCGATACTTTAAAAATACATTAAAAAAAATCCGCAACAAATCGATGTTTATGAGGGGAATTTAAAACTCCTTAAAAAATCAGTGCTTAGGGACCTTTACAAATTCATAAAAAATCTCTCAACAAAAATTATGCTTGGGAGACTCAAAAAATCATTTAAAAAATCTCTTTAAATAGTCGATGCATAGAGGCTTTTAAAAATTCATTAAAAACCGCTCTAAAAACACGCTTAGGGACCGTTAAATGTCAATGCTTAGGTTCCTTTAAAAAAACATACTAAAATCGGTGCTTCGGGACTTTTTAAAAATTCCTCAGAAAATCGATAATCAAGAGACCTTAAGAATTCATAAAACATATCCCACAACAAATCGATGTATAAGAGGGGAATTTAAAAAACCCTTAAAAAATCAGTGCCTTGGGACCTTTAACAATTTATTTAAAATCTCTCAGAAAAATTGATGTTTAGGAGCCTCTACAACGATTTAAAAAATCCCTTGAATTATTGATGCATAGGGGCTTTCAAAAGTCAATCAAAATCTGTGCTTAGGGACCTACACGAATTCA